AGCTGCCCTCCGGGGCCCAGAGAGGCTGTCGCCGCCCGCCCGTGCACCAGCCTGCCGGCGGGACCTGCCAAACGCCCCCCTTTTCCCAGGAAGACAGCAGCACCTTTCTCCCCGCGCCCGCGCTTTCTCCAGCTTGTCCGGCGCGACTTTGCTAATCGCCCGGACCGTCGCTGGACGCTAGGGCTCCGAGGCTGCACCCAGCTCAGGTTTCCTTCGGGGCTGGGGGCGACAGGGGTTTTGCTGGCCGAGTTCATGGCATTGCCGGGTTGAACTTAGCGAATTTAGCCAACTTGACGCTGTTACCCAATCGACCTGCAGCTCTAACCCCCCCCCCCCATACACGCCCCCACACACGGACACGCCCCCTCTCCCATATAAAGGAGGGCCATCTGGTCCGGACCCGAGCGGAGCCCTTGCCTAGCGGAGTTCGTGCACGGAACTTGGAGACCGAAGGCGTAATCCTGGACCTGCCACTTTCCACCGCTGTTGACCTTGGCAAGTTACCGCACTTCTCTGAGCATCTTCTCTTAGGTGGGGTTGAGAGCCCAGACCGCGGACCGGCGGGGTGCGGAGGTAACCTCAGCCTAGGAGCGCACAGGGACCGCCGTGGGCGCTCCGTAAGCGTCGGGGAGGCGCGGAGTTGGCTGTCCGAGGAAACCTCCCGGTTCCCAACTCGCCACCGAGGCAGAGAACCGGCCCGGCGCCTCTCCTCCCCTAGAGACCCGCTCTCTGTGATCAGTTCTTGTTACAGCTTTTGCGGGAACCGGCCCCGCGGTCTGGGTTTTTGCGCCCATCTTGCGGGAACGCTCCCGGCCGCCTCCAACTCTTTCGCCTCCACCTGAGATGCGAAGCGGAAGGCGAGCGGCTGAGCTGCCTGGGAACAACGAGCCTTTGGTTTTCAGGTGGCGAAACGGACTGGTCTGGGTAGGGTGCGTCCAAGCCAAGCCTTTGCAGTGCTGGTTAGATTTTAGAATTTCTCTTTCTGGGTGAGAAAATAGCAATCCAGATGGAGCTATCCGGTTGGTGCCGTTTTAACTTTTAGTCTTCCAACAGGTGAAAGACACGCTCTTTCTCTCTTCTCTCTTTCCTCTTTTCTCCCCACCGCTATCTAGGTGGGAGAGGGCTGAAGCTAAGGGCGGGCTGTAGGACCGAGAACTGATGGCCTGGAGCCGGGCGAGAGCAGCCGCAGAGGAGTCACTTGTTGCTCAGCGTTTCCCAGCTACCTCTCACTGATGTTTCTCAAGGCTTGGAGAGCTGGTCTGGACCTTTCAACGCTGCCACGTTTGGCCTAGCATGGGTTGGTGAGGGGGAAGAGGTTGACAATTGGGGAATCAAGTACAGGAATTCAGGTCAAAAGGTCATTCAAAATGGAGTCAACATTTACTGAGTGCCTGTGGAGTCCAGGCCCGCCAGAGCCTGGGGTTTGGACTCGTCACCTAGATGGAATATGTAGGGTGGGCGCCTACATGTCTGCATGAAGACACGGTGTCCCTCCTGGATGGGCCCCCAGCCCGAACGAAGGAGGAAACATAATAAAATGATCTTCCCCCACAAACTGGTATCAGGAACGAGCAACTTTTTTTCTCACATCTTTGTCTTATTTCTTTTTTCTCCTCTTTCTGTTTCTTGTGGTTTGTACGTTCCAGAATGAGGAGACCAAAAGAAGAGCGAATATAAACGGGACTAGATGGCCAGCCCCTTCCCCTAACAGTTTTCGTCCGATGTAACATTTCTTCTATATTGAAGATGCCACGAGTTCCCCAAGATAATGTGCAAAAGAAGGAAAGATGTAATCACTGGCTTTCCATCAACCAGTGATGGGGAACTCAGAAACAATTCTTGTTTTTCCCCCTCCTCAATTCTTTCTTTACTTTTGCTGCACCCCACCCCTTCTCTCCCCCAAGTGGTGCAAACATGATTCAGACACAACAGCTAGTGTACATAAGGTGGTATTTTTTGTTTTGTTTTTAAGACTTCTAGGAAAATGTGAGGTGGGTTTGGGGATGGGGTCCTTTTTCCTTCATCCACTTCTTATTTGCCACTTCGTCAAGTAACCATTTCTTCTGAAGCCCTTTGAATCCTTTCAGGTATGATGACTTTGCCAAGGGTCAGGTGAGCCATGTGGGCATAGGAGCGCTAGATCCGGATTCCAGAACTGCTGCTGTCAGATTGGAAAGTCATTGTAATCTCTGTCCCACTTATCCCTCCAGAAAGACTTATACGCACCTGTTATTTAAGATGCGTCCGGCTGGGCGGAGAGGTCTGGGCAGATGTCCTTGGGAAAGACCAGTGCGGAACCATTTGCTTGGAGGACCTTGTGACACGTAGACAACTGAAATATTCTTAGCTGCCTCTGCCTGCGGCTGTCTCAGAGCTCCCAGAACACCTAGATCAGTCCTGACCTTTCATAGTTATGCCCTAAGGCAGGACTTTGGAGCCCAACAACATTATCTTGGGGGACATTTCTCCTTCCTTGTCTAGTGCTGCAGCCTCCAGAGGTTTCTAGGTTTTCCTTGACCTGACTCTTCACTTTGTCCCAGTTCCAAAGGAAGGCCCCACCTCTCTAGACTTACGAGTTGGGCTGCGATCCAGCAGCAGCTCTGTGGGAGAAAGACAGGGCTTTCTACTCCTATTAACAGTTACATCTTGGAAATCCACAGGGGGAGTCGCTATGAGTCAGCATTGACTCGATGGCAGTGAGTTTGGAGGTTTTGGAAGACAGTCTGCCACACACACTCAGGGACCTTTCTGCCCCTAGAACATGTGTGTGGGGGTGGTGATTATCTCCCACCCCTACTCCTCCTACTTCCAACTTGGGGCTCTGAACTCGTTTGTATGAGGAAATATTCTTTTGTATTCCCTCCTGGTGATGTGGGCAGTTGGCTAAATCAAGCATCTTCATGACCTCAGGCAAAAAATTTGCTCAGGTAGTCTCTGATCTTGGATCTACATCTTATCGTCGCCCTTGCCTAGTAATGTGTAGAACAGCTGTGTTTCAAGCACTGCTAGTGCTTTTTTTCTTAGTAGGTGAAACCTTTTGGCCTTATCATGTCTTCTCCATCACATACAGCCCAACCGCTCCAGCGGGCGGCATCACCGCCCACCAGTTCATCCAACTTCGGCCAAGGCTCTGAAATGCCAACTATGTCGAGGCCTGCACTTGATGTCAATGGTGGCACCACACCTGTGAAGGAGGTAACTTGCCATTTTTACAAGTGGAGACAAAAGAATATGGAAAGATTGGCTTGTCTGGAGTAGCATGGTAGGCCCTGCTGGTGTGGTATCTAGTGTCCTTTGGTAGAGCGGGAACATCAGGGCTTTCTCTGATAAGAATAAGAGCCACCTTTGCCCAAATGTGGTAAGATAGAACCCTTTAGAAGTATTGGAAGACCGCAGGACAGCAGAGAATAAAGCAGAAAAGTAGAATTGGTAAAAGACCACTCCGTTGAAAATATTAAAATGAAGCTGAGAGAAAGGAAGGTCAAAAAAAAAACACAAAGTCCTCTCAAGAATGGTAAGCTCTGAGGGTCAGGGGAAGGGCAGCAAATACACTTAGGGTGGCAGGTGCCCTAGCACTAGAACTTGGGAATGAGCTCAGTCCTTAGCGCCATGGGAGCAAAAGGATGCTCAAGTTGGAAGCCCAACACTCTAGGAATCCTTCTTGCTACTGCTCCACCACTAGCCTCAAATGAAACAGATGTGGGGCCTTTCAGGGCCTGATGAGTCACAAGGGGATAACAAGGACAGGTGTACCAATGGCATGCCTTTCTCTGTCTTTTAGGATGCCAACCAAGAGATGAGCTCTGTGGCTTACCCTAACCTGGGAGTGAAAGACCACAAAGCAGTGGCCACTCTGCACTACCCTGCGGCAGCCTCAAATGGAATCAAGGCCAGTGAGGCTCCCAGTAGTTCCTCAGGATCTCCACCTCCAATAAGCTCTCTGACCACCCCTCCTCCCAGTAAACCCCCATCCTTGAACCTGCACTCTGCCCCACACCTGATGGCCAGTATGCAGCTGCAGAAACTTAATAGCCAGTATCAAGGGATGGACACCACCCCTCCAGATCAACTGGAGGAAGCAGAGTCCCTGCCAGACTGGGGTCTGGAGGCTTCGGTGGGAGGGGCGGAGTCACTCTCTCCTTCTGCTGTTGCCCAAAGCCCTGCTATCATCGATTCAGACCCGGTGGATGAGGAGGTGCTAATGTCGCTGGTGGTGGAGCTGGGCCTGGACCAGATCAATGAGCTTCCAGAGCTGTGGCTGGGGCAGAATGAATTTGACTTCACAGCAGAATTTTCATCTGACTGTTGATGTCATGTATCCCTAAAGATGGAGGAATAAAGCCACCAATTGTATTGTAAATTTAAAAAATTAATAAATGTTAATTGCAAAGAGATGGACTGAAAATGTTCTTCAGTGAGGTTTGTAAGTGTGTAATGCATCTAGCCTGGTGTCATTTTGGTAATTCTGAGTCCCACATTGGAGTTTGGGGTGGATAGCTCAAAAGGAGATAGAAGGGATGGGTGAAATGAGTAAGCAGCTCACTTAATCCTCACCACTGCTGTTATCTACTTGGGGGTCCAAGTTCATAACCCCTGCCCATTTCATTGCCCTAGACTCCAGAAATAGTCTACTCGAGATTGACTGCAGGAACTGGTTGAGAGGGGCATTCTAGGGGAAGAAACTGGTCAAAATCTTTCTGCAGCCTCCTTGCCACTTGCACAGGTTGTGCAGGTGATAAAACAGACATGTTCCCAACTCGAGAAGCTGCCCACCCCCCATCCACTCTCTGACCCCTTAAGACCATTGACCCTCTAAGGCCATTCTTTTGCCTTTTGCCTATGGGGAATGAGGCCTAAGAAGGACCCTCTCACCTAGGACCTAAGATTTCTCTGGAAAAATGACCGCAGATGCCTATGGTAAGATGGTCTAGGTGATGTCTTCAAGTCCCATCGGACAGCTGTTCAATCCCTCCAAGCTAATATGGGACACCCTAAGGTACTTCAAGTGTCCCCTACTTTCTACATCCCTGACCCTCCCTGATGGCGTAGGAGGTCTGAGTTGGGCTGTACACCGCAGTCGGCAGTGTGACACCACCAGCGGCTCCGTGGGAGAAAGACAAGTCTCTCTCCTCCCACAAAGAGTGTCTCAGAAATCCATACGTGCAGTTCTACTCTGTCCTATAGGGTCACTATGAGTCAGAATTGATGCAAGGGCAGTAAGTAACCCCTGCTATATCTGGACAACTTGCTGCCTCTCCATCCTGCAGATGCAGAACATGGCTGGGGTTGACAAGTTCAAGGTTTGAGACTATATCCCTGGCCTTTAGACTAACTGCTAAGGAAACAGTGGCATCGGGAACACATCAAATAATGAGACAGCAGCATTGACATACATCTTGGTCTTGTGGGGCTCTGACCCAGATCCCCGCCTCATGTTGACACAACTAAATTCCTTTCGGGTTCTGCCCACATTTCAGACTCCCAGAGATAGTCTTCCTTGAACAATCTGAAAACTACTCCCATAAACCTCTCAGGACTAGCAGCAGGTTTGTCCCCTGGTGAGATCTTTGGGTCTATTATCAAAGGCAAGCAATTGGATTCAGCACTCCCTGAGCACCTGTTCTGATGGGCACTTTGTTAGGCATTGGAGCATGAATCTAATAAAATTTGTGCCCTTTTGCCTGTGTGTGGGTGGGGGGTGGGGGTGCTTCCCCATCTCGAGGGAGAAAAACGGGCACAAACAAACTACAACACAACACAGTCTTTCCTCTAATATGGAGGGTTGCTTTTAGATCCCAGAAAAGGAAATTGCTTCATCTGCTTGGGAGGTTTGAGGAAGACTTCTTGGCATTGAACTGGTTCATATGTTAGTGTTTATATATCCCAAACAATCAATACATGATACAATATCCTTACAAGGAGTAGATAAAGTTTGATCAGCTCTGTAAACCTTCACCCAATTCGCACACACACAAAAGTAGATGAAGTATTCTTTGGCAAGCTCTCCCTCAATCCCGACTGCCTTGGCGCTCCACAGAAGTAACAACTGTTTATCTGTTTATGGTGTGTGCTATGTATTTTCAGGCCTTGCTTTGTACCTTCAGATACAGATATACTTACCCACAGGGGGAAAATGTTTTAAAATAAAGAGTAGAAATATGAGTGAGGGGAAAATCTGCCACATCGATGCTGGTTGAAGAAAGAGCCAAAACAAGAAAAAACAAACCAAAAAAACCCAGAATGGCTAATAAATGGGTTAAACAGGCAAAGCCATAAGGCTGGTGGAAGGGAGTGGGTGGAGATGAGACTGAAGAAGCTTTGGGGAAGTTGAGTACACCAGCCTTTGAGACCAGGCAGCAAGTTGTCTATCCTTAAAATCATCAGCCCTTTGGCTTGTGGAGAATCTCTAGAGGTTCTAGGAAAACCACTAATTAGCCAATTTTGATTTTTTAGAATGAGCCCACTGAGATGCATGCTGGGATTCATCCAAGGCAAGGAACAGGAAGGTGAGGTTTTGAGGGTGTTGGCGAGGTAGGGGGAGGAAAACAAAAGTATGTGCAGCCTGGGAGGTGAGGAGAACAAGGCAGCCTCAAGGAGTCTCACGTTCTGCATGAGGAGAGGTACAGAAGAGAGAATGCTCAGGGAGGCAGAACGTGAAGGAGGGGTGGGGGGAAGGCAGCTGTGGTCAGCAGGTGGATTTCAGAAGATGAAAAGCTCTTGGTGGCTACAAGGACAGGGTGTAAGCACAGGAGCAAAGGAATGGCAGGGCGTGGGAGGAACCTAGATACTAAAAGGCTGTAGGGTCCACGATCCCTTCCCTGCTGAGGCCTTCAAAAACCACGATTCCAGCCGAACAAAACAGGTCAGTGGGCTCGATTCAGTGCCTGGGCCCAAGCTTACCAGCCCTGATCAGGATGCCAGTAGTCCTTGGGGCTGAGAGTAGCCTGAGGTAGGACTAGTGTCTCTGTAAGGGAAAGGAGATGACAGGGATGCAGCTGGAGAGCAGATGGTGGAGAAGAATGGCTTGAATATTCACATAGAAGGTGCTTCTAAATGAGGAGCGAGAACAAGAACTTTGGCATAGCAACCCTTTCTCCTGATGCCAGGACCCAGAAGGGCAGCCAATTGAACAGCCCCTCTCCTGAGGGCTTCCAAGAGGGGAGAAGGAAGCATGAATTATTCTCCAGAGTGTCAGGGCTCTTAGATGATGACGAGGAGGGAGGCAGTGATTGTTCACTGGGTAGTAGAAGAGGGAATGAGGGAACCCCATAGGCACATGGGAGGCCAAACAGGAAGGCTCCGCCACTCTCCTGCTATTTTATGTTCTTCCTTCTCAAGGCAAAACCAGACACAGTCATTAAGTTACCAAATTATTCTGTGGGGCATATACCCCAAAGAAGTAAGAGTCAGAACACGAACAGATATATGCCTTAACATGTTCATAGCAGCCCGGTTCATAATAGCAAGAAGCTGAAAACAGCCTAAATGCCCATCAGTTGAAGAATGCGTAAAAACAAAAAAACCCATGGTACATACACACAGTGGAATACTAGGTGTTCCTAAAAAAACAAACAAAAACAAAAAACAGTGATAAAACCACAAAACACTGCATGCCATGGAGGAACCTAGAACCATTCTGCTGAGTGAAGTTAGTCAATTACAAAAAGTACAAATATTGTACGCGCCCACTACAATAAGGATAAATACCAAGACAACGACAGGCTCAGCTTCCTAGGCCATACAGTCTTCTAACCTGCCCATCCTGCAAGCAATGAAGCAGTGTGCTTACCTAGCTCCACAATCTATATATCACCCCCCCCATTAGAACACCTTAAAAACTACCTCAGGAGAAGTGACCTCACTACAGATGGGGTCAGTTTCCCAAGTCAGGGGGAGAAGGAACCAAACCAAATCAAACTCCCCGCCATTGAACCAAGGTCGACTCACAGTGACCCAATAGGACAAGGTAGAACTGCCCCTGGGTTTCTGAGGCTATAACGAACTCCTTACTGGAGTACGAAATCCCATCTTTCTCCCAAGGAGTGGTGGGTAGTTTTGAACTGCTGACCTGCAGTTAGCAGCTCAACTCATAACCACTATACCAGCAGGGCTCCTCTAGAGAGGAAAAGACCAATTAACGCCCACCATATGGTGGTGTAATACAAATTAACAGGTAATCCTACAAGAGTAGTTAGTAACTTTACTGGGCGATCAGATCAAGAAGAGGTGGGTCATGCCTGCATTGGAGGGAGCAATCACACTTCTGATAGTGGGTGTACCAAGTGGGGTACCCAGGCATTGGGGAAAGTGCTTAACATTGTCTATAGACACCCCAATGGGAAAATGTGACTGGTATTATGTTCCCAACTGATCGCTTTTGACTAAATTCCCAACCAAACCCCGATGACCCAGGCAAGGTGCTATAGATAATTTGGACATTCGACTCTGTCCTTCTGAGGTACACAACACTCTTCATAGACCACATCAGAAGGACTTGAATTGGGGATCCCAATTAGCAAACTGGAGTTTACCTTAAACTCACTTATAGCAGAACCAAAGAACAGAAATACTCCCTGAACGTTAAGCCGAAATGCCCTAGTGGAAGAAGGAGCTAAAATTAAGGTATTGGTGGTCTTGGATTTTGGATGGGTTCAGATACATTGCTCTGAAGGTGCTCAATGAATGGTGATCGAGGACCAACATCTATTTATTGTTTTCTCATTCTGTCTGCCTTTATATGACATACTCAGATGTTAGTCTACCAGGCATGGTTCTGCCATCATAAATGAAAAATAGCATTTGGGATCTTAAAGGCTTGGCTTAAAACAAAGCAGCCACATAAGTGAGGCGTCAGCTAAGTCCACATGGAAGCACACCGGCCTGTGTGATCCAAGGACAGCAAATAATAAGATCCAAACCTGGAGGAGGAAATGGGACCGATGCTTAAATTCTAAAGACCTGGTTTGTGGAAAGCAACAGATGAGAGTGATAGCCCCAAATCCATTTGCAAAGTCCCTATGTGGATAGGGGGACCCTGGTGGTGTAGGAGTTCAACGTTGTGCTGTAATCCGCTTGGTAAGCAGTTCAAAACCCCCAGCAGCTCCTCGGGAGAAAGACTGGGCTTTTTACTCCCATGAACAGTTACAGTCTCAGAAACCCACAGGGATCAATATGAGTCAGCACTGACTTGATGGTAGTGAGTCTGGTTTAGTTTTGACTACATGGATTTAGTCCCTGATGAATCCCCAATGCACATAGGCTAAGAATGTTAGCAGCCTTAATAAAAGCACTGTAAAGTGGATGTTAATAGCCATACTTAATTAAGCTGGAATGTAACACCTTGTTGTTTATCTCCCTTTGTATTCAATGTGAATGTATTCGAAATTTTAAATAT